GTGCGAGCGAGAGACAAAAAACGTATCGTATCGCGGTTCCACTCTAGCGCGCGCGGCTAATGAATATTGTGCAGTGCGCTGACGCAGCTGCGCGAAACGTTCACAGATTGATCCGCCATTATTTATATTATTTCGGCGCGAAACGCTGAATTGGATCACGGCGACAAAGAAGTTAAATTGCGCGTTCAAATCCCCATGACAATTGACAATTATTGTATCAAACGTAACTTGGACAGATGTAAACAAATATACAATCTCGAATGATACTGATGTATCCACGTGTGATACACAAAGCGTGTCTTTGTCAGTTCGTAGAGAGTCCTTTTCACGTCATTCTTTGCAAATGGCATTAGAGTCAAAAAACGTTGGATTTGTGGTTACAAATTAACTGATTCATACTCGACTACACAACTATTACTAAGGTAAATAACAATCCTGAGTAAAACGATTTAAGTCACGAGATATCTGCGAGTAGATCAACTCGACGTGCGTGCGCTCATGCATTGAGACTACTTTTTTCTCCGGCGTTACTCACTCCATGTAATTATGACTAGTGATTAAATGTTAGGGAAACACGTTCTGAATACTTCATGGTTCCGCTGACTTATTTATATATCGCGTTTTAATAGTACATACATAAATACAGCTGAGCACCACTGTTCCTTATTGGCAGTACTGTAAACGTTTCAATTATATATCCCAATATAAACGCTACGATTCTAGATAGGTAAGTAAATAAATTAATTTTAAATTAAGAAAATATTAGGAATTATGGAAATTTGAAATTGGAACGATATCAAAGTTTATTGGCCTTTATTGGTTCCATTGAGATACCGAATGGTTTTACTGCATGTAAATAGGAATCCAATCAAGAAAATAATTGCAATCAGACACCAACCAGTGCGCGGCTGGTAAAGTTATCAGTTCTTAATGACTGTGAGAATATCTATTTTGTGTGAACTGTTCTAAAAAGAGTGCAACGAGCATAATACCGTAACGTGCTCACGAGTTCAGTTCATTGCATCGAACACGCAGGAGATACGGAATATTGCACTCGCAGACGGAATGAAGCAATTGAATATAATTGCAAAAACATACTTCGCTGGACAATTTATTATAATAAAGTGTTTGCAGTACTAACGTAAATAGCATTGAGAATTATAAGCTTTATCACTAAACGTACAAAGAACTTTCTATTATTAAAGTTATCGAGGATTTATTCGAGCTTAAATAACAAATATTCGAGGCCATGATTTGCAGTGTAACCTTGATGAAAAAGTTTGCAATCTCTTGAAAAAGTAATGTTAACTTGTACGCAAACATCAAAGTCATTACAACAGTCAACAGTGGTAAAAACATCAACAGCTACTGACACCGTCTATTCTTGCAACGGTCTTCAATTAACATTCTTGCAATTATTACCTTTTTCTACGCCGCTATACCAACAATTCATGCTTCATATATAATTAAACATAATTGTGATTACTTTTTTACTTTTCTCTTTTACAATCATTAAACTTTTATATTACAGTTTTATTATAGATAATTTTAAGTTACAGTTGTGCTAAGCAATCATCCTATCTATCCAGTAAAAACTAGTCGGATTGTTATACTTTTACTAATCGAATCGATTGACTCGTTACGCTTCTTGTATACTCCATTGATATGTCTACACGAACAATAGATTTTACAGAAAAATCGAACACGATGTGAGAAGTATAGATAAAATACAACACTACAACATTGTTACCACATATCAGAAACACTCGCAGAGTACAACAACCTCGTCCATTAATATGTTTCGATATAAAAAATGCTAAACACCATTAGCGGCTGTAAAATAGCGAACTAATTCATCGAGTGTCAACGCACTCGAATACTTGAACGAGTCACTCGATCGCATTACTACGCAGCGTCCAGTGACGCACCGCTTGTATCGATGACAGTAAAGGATGACAGTATCACAACTAAACCGATCATTCGCCACAGAGAGAGCACTATATCAATCACTCACTCCACAATCGTACCGCATGCCACTTAAATAAATTTATAACATATTAAGTACGTTGAAAATAAACACTTTACCGTTTATGATTTATTTCGTTTGGCGATGAATTATGGACGTCACTTATTAACAGTGTTAGAGCGGGAGGGCCTAATTTTTATCTCTTTTTGTGGCGATTTCACGTGCTACTGCTACCGATAAACGTTTTATTGGAGTAATTAAAACAAACCGATTAGCGTCCGTACGAGTTACATGTCCAAACACATGATAAATGTGACATTTTACTATGTAATCTGCGAGCGATAATTTTTACCACACTATCGGTTACCTGTCAGCCAGTAATGATTTTATAATTTATATTTAGAAATGTTACTTTTATTCTTTCAAAGATTGCATTGTTTATAATATAAAATATATTATGTCATAAAACCTAAGTCAATGTAAATGTGGCATATAAATAAGAGAGTGGTCAGTTCCATGACACTAACAAGTTATCTATCTATTCTGAGTTATCTGAGTCGGGTCCCTAAGGTCACGTCTACTTACAATATTGCGGCTATAAATAAAGTTTAATTTCAATAATTACCATAATATGAAGTCTTTGACTGATAAGTTATCAATAATGTCAATAAAGCATTTTATAAAGGGAAATTTTATTGTTGGCACGTCTGTGTAGTCATTTCCGGCAATTTGACTAACCAATATTTTATTATTCCACTTCTGTGACGTGCCGAAGACGTCGTGTTTTTTTTTTAAATTGCATACTACCGCAACATGTCAACGCTTATTGTTCCTATTGTTAAAAAAAAGAAAACCCACAAAGAAATTGCGGTATTATAAATTTATAAAATAAATTACATGGTCCTTGATTGTCGGTTTGTATACAGATTACCTGTTTTACGGGGCGAATTGTTATAAAATGACTCCATTTATGAAGTCTTTTTTGTAGTCCAAATAATAGGTGTTACTATGTCGATTCGGCTTGTCATGTTATTACCGGCAACCACGTAATGAAATATTGGTTAAAAGCTGTATTTTGATGGTACTTTCTTATAATGGACTCTCGTTTCTATATTATCACCAGAAACTTTTTTTTATGGATGAGAGACAACCTTCCAAGAATTGCCGCATAGTTTTAGCAAAAAGGGCATTTTTTGTTCAATTAGCAGCTTAAAGATTTTGTTTTATATGAATAGTTGTTATCTTTCGTCTTCAAACTTTTCGGAAATCTATAACTATTTATTTATCTATACTTGTAGTTAATTGGTTCTAGTAAATAGAATAAATTTTACACGAAATCTCAAATACTTTGCTCTTATCGTTGCATATAAAACTAATAAAAACGCATCGAATCAATTGTTATCCGCTGATATCCGAGTTAATTCACAATACGACCGAATTTGGCTACAACAATCAATCTCGCTCGAATCGAATACATAATACAGTACAAATGGCTAGACGGAAAAACGCGTAAATAATCGATAAACCACAATCGAATCGACGCAGAATTTCCCGTTACTAATTACACTTTATAGTTATTAAAGCATTATACCGAAGAAATTGCTGCTACTGATTTACGAGCCGCCATGTTGTGCGCGACATTTTAATATCCGAATGAGTTCGCGCGCTTTTTTCACTTTTTAATTCTGATGGGCAATGGAAGCAGGTGCGTTCGTACAAAGTTATTCCGTCCGGCATTCTCTCTTTCGAGTGTAATTTTCGTGTGGCGTTGAATGGGTTTTGTGTATGGTATGGAATTGGGAAAGTATGGATTTTTATTACGGCCGCGACGAACTTTTTGGACTCTTTCCGAATTGGTTTTAGTTACTAGCGGTTATTTAATTGGATTTATTTAAAGAGATGCCGATTGAATAGTAACGCGTGTTGTATTTTAGTTAGTCGTTAGCATTTAAAATTTCCTTTTTATTGCAGATCGCGTACAATTTTCAACCGACTTCAAAAATAGAGGTTGTCGATTCGGTTGTATTTTTTGTGTTTGATACCTCATAACTCCGTCAGTTATATACTCATTTGGAAAATTCTTAACTAAAAAGATATACTTACGGATTGGTCTCGTAAAAATTGTATCAAAATTAAATTTAGTTGTTACCACATGGTTTATAACCAATCAATCGTCGTGAAATTTGATATGCACGTATTATTTGAATACGGTACTTTTTAGCCCAGTAAATCAATATACCCTCGTTTCGCGGATGAAGTCGCGGATAAAAGCTAGTATGTAGGCCACATGCCATATTCTTGTCATTGATGACATATAAAATGTATCATCGCAAATATTGTGTGCACGGCTAACTAAAGTGCAATTTGGCATCTCATTGCGCTGTCCGCTAACTTTGTAAGTATCTAGTATAATATGGCAACTACAAATTATAAACTAAACAGCGACAATGTGTGTTCGATTCTAAATTCAAAATTTTATAGTTCTGACTATATAGCTTTTGGAATTAATTTAAATTCCGAATAATATTGTTGTGTCATTTTATTACTAAATTGTTATGTGCAAGCTCAGACAGTTTGTAACTGTTGCACAGTTTGTTTTAAAAATAGAATTAAAATCGCATACGCATATTTAATGCCATTGTTTTATTGTTTGGCTTTATTATAAAATGTTGTATAGAAACATAATCATATAAATTGTCTAAAGATATAATTTATATTTTTTGTGCAGTTTTTGTAGAATTAAAATTAATGTAAAACTAAGAATATATACTGTACAATGAATATATAAGTACAAAAATTTTGTGAATCTTGAATTCAAATCTGACAAAAATTTTTGAGCCCCTCATACTAAAACAGTAGAATGCAGCGTGTCTTTTTATTCGCGTTTCTTTGGTGAAAATGTTCAGTTTCTCTGCTATAACACTATCTATATATGTATAATAGCTAACGACTATTCACCTTGTATATTTCCTGCTCAAAGTTTAGGCCATATGTACTAATCATACTGTGCAATAAATTTTGTGCAACAAATTACCTGTTTACTGAAAACTGCGATATCTTCGTTAAAGGACTCTGAGGAGCAGACATCACCGCCGGCCACCCCGGGGTCCCGCGGCGTACACGTCGCCAGCTCGCACTTCTCGAAGATCAGGGCGAGAAGGGGGAACAGAGGATGCCTGCAACACATTATTATGGATTATTCTTATAGCCAATTTACAACAACAACATTAAGGACATCTCCAGTTCTCCATAAATTGTACTGAGTGGACCACGATGGCTGTTATTTATAATATTTAAATTTTACAACTAATAGATGGAATGGTAATGTCACCTGCGCTATCGGTATACACTGGCGGGGCACCAGTGAGGTATCAGCGGGTCAGTTGATCAACAACTATAGTGACGAATTCATTACATTATTTTCCAAAAATAAAACCGCGTGGAAGTCGAACTGATTTGCAATATACCCCATATTCCAAAAATTTTATTTTATATATATATATATATATATATATATATATATATATATATATATATATATATAGGTTGTAATCTATACGAGCCTTATAATGCATAAAGCATGAAATAAGAGCTTAAATCATAACTAAATAAGTTTAGCTTGAACATACAATACAGCGAGTGCAACAAGCAGCAATGTCAGAATATTCTCAGAAGACTCATAAAATGATCTTGGCACATTTACACTAAACAAAATTTCATAATTTGATGTCGTGAGTCGTTTTAAAATACTACTAAGAACCATGAAAGTGACCATTTTAGAACGCAGAGTACTAATTTAAGGGAATTTATAATATATTACTGTGAGAATATGGACCAATTGGCAGATTTGTAATATAATTTACTATATTAATTTCTCTAGACTAGATTAAAAACTACTCATAGAATGTTAAATATCTTACTTCATAGATATATAATTATTATTGTTTCTTTCTTTTGGAGGAAACAATAAAGAATATCTATCTATCCATTGTTATATTGGAATATAAAATATATTCTTTTACATTTTTAGAACCAAAAAATAAAAACGTACTTAATGTATGTGTGTGTGTATGTATGTATAATTATATATATAATAATAAGTAGGGATAATAGTCATATTATTATATGTATCACATCTCCCATATTTAGAACTAACAAAATTTTTCATCGTGCCTCCCACCAAATTGTTTATAATTAATCCTCCCATCCAAAGGTTGCCTGCAAGAGATCGCTCTTAGCGATAAAGCCGTCCATTGTTTTCTCATTGTGATTATTTCTTGTAATTATTTATATTTATAATAAGTTTACTATTGTAATCTTTTGGAGGAAATAATAAAGAGTATCTATCTATCTATCTATAATGATCGAGGGATCGGCAGTAGCGTCCCTCTTAAACCAACATCTAAGCCTAACTGTGATTACCAACCCGCCTGCCAAGTGTAATAACTATTGGCAAAACCCCCCCCTTATGAAAGAGGCCTATGTTTTGCAATAGACACTTAATGGCATATATGATGACGATGATGATGAACTCCATTTTTACTGTTTTAGTAGTAGTACTAGAAAAACACTTTTTAATAAGTATTCATATAATGAATACAAAGGCACCATTTCATATAAATAGTGCAATTATTTAAAAAAAAACTAATAGCCAATGCATACGTAAAATATTAAAAAAAAAAAGTTATTAACCTATGCAAAAAAGATATGTGTAACTCCATAATTCCTGCTTTATATGTTCCAACTTTATATTATAAAACTAAATAGGGTAATTGAGTGAGTGGTGGCGACCTTTATGCTAGGATCTGATCAGATCCCGATTGTGGGGACGTGACCCAGATACCATCAGTTTTATGGCTCTAGTACGCGAACAGCGTCAGGCTTCACTGTAAGCGAGTTAGCTTCCTTGGTAATATAAATAGTCTATTGAATATCTCAACCTTTCGTTTAGCAAAATTCTTAATCATTAAAACGCAAGAGAATTTTTAGTTCGCGCGATATAATTTGATCGTTGAATTCGATACATTTGCGCAGGAATATTAACGTAATATGATAATGTTCATATATAGGTTGCGCATCGCAAAATAACAATCATTTGACGACAAAAAAAACCGAAATGTACAAATAAATAACAAATTATAAATGTATAACAATTTTGTTCATAATGTAAGTGTACTCAATTCTATCATTATTAAAGTAAGAATGTTAGAAATTATCTAAAATTACTTTAAAATTGGATCTCTAATCAGATAATGGCTGATGTGATGTGATGTGATGACACTAAAATTACAAGCAGTGTTGCAAATTTAATTCAAATTCATCTTTCAAACCGTTTTAACAAAATCGTACATGATTTCGTAGGTAGATATACACTTCCAGACAATTTTACAGATTTACACGTCTATAATATTGATTATAATATAAATAATCTATAAAATTAATCAGTCCATTGCCTTAAAGTTTTCATGAAAAGATTGCTCTCAGCAACTTATACAATTGTATCGTTACATTTGTTAATTGTATTGCTTATTTCCTATATTGTATAATGCAAATAAAGTATACTTATTCATTCATTGATAAAATGTGTAGGTATTCGAATTTTAAACTAATATTAAAATGTACTCAGTAACAATAAAATCGTCATTGGATTTTAAAATTATACCGTTGCTGACACACCTATATAGTATTAAGGATAACAGCCTGTAAACATTTTTTTATGTAATTTATAATGGTAAATGGTAACCTATTTGTCTATGGACGAATAACACCATGGGCGCCACCGAATATATTGCCATACCTGGGAACTAAGATGTTATGCCTGTAATTTCACTGCCATATCTCACTCTTTGGTTTGTGTTACCAGCATAGAATGATCCATCTCTTCCTTTCCCGTGAATGTCGTAAGAGACTTAGGGAACTTAATAGTCAAAGGATAGACAGCAGCTCTTAAAATACCAGTTAAAACTCTAACTGCGATTGCCAACCCGCCTGTTAACCATGGCAACTATTGATAGAACCGTTATGGGAGAAGCCTATGTTTAACAGTGGACAATTTAGGGCTAACATGATGATGATCGCGCACATCAAACCAAATATAGCGCTACAAAGAACAGCTGAACCCCAGAAACACGAGTGGTACCGAGATATAAGCAAGCAATTTTTGCATTGTGGAAAATTTTCTTTGTGCAAAAAGTTTCTTGCCATATCCCTCTTTGTACATCCTGTATACAATATTAAAGTTAACAGCCTGTAACATATTCATGCACGTACGGTTATTGAGGTATTAAGAAGCAACAGCGATGTTTTATATACATAAATTGAACATTAAATACTGCTTTCGCGACAGTTGCAACGAAGTGCATAATGGGTTTGCGACGGTAACCTTTCCATTGGACACCATAGACAGAAATTATACCTACACTCGCTGTTTACCGCGGTTTCGCCTGTATTCATGTCACTTTATCTCTCGTTTCCATTTTCGTGATATCTTTTTTTGATGAAAACTCTAAATTGATAACTACATCTTGACTGTCTATTAGAATAAATCCTTTTATGTATAACTAGCTTTTAACCATGACTTCGTCCATATAACCGGGGTGAAAATAGACTATGTCCTTCTCCATCCCATATACTACGTGTATACCAAATTTCATAGTGATTGGTTAAGCCGTTAATTCGCTATAAGGTAAACAAACAAACTCACTTTCATATTTATAATATAAGTAAGGACAGATAATATAGTATACATTTTTTTTTATACAACTTAGAATGGTAAACAAGATGACGGCCCATCTGATGTAAAGTGGTAACCGTCGCCTATAGACATGAGCAGTACCATGGACATAACTGAGTATACTGTTGCGCCCATAATACCCCCCATGCGTTGCCATTCCTGAGGACTCAGGTGTTAGTACCCAGTAAATTCACGCCATATCCAACCCTTCAAACCGAAACACAGCCATGCAAACACAACTGCTTCACGGTTGAAACACTAATGGGACAGAGGTACCTAAGCAATCGACTTTTGTACAAAGTCTCCCTCTGGTATTACTATGTATTTATAACAATTTTATCTTAATAAATACGAGAAATATTTTCTAGGTATGGACTGTCCGGACCTGTTTTTATTTAGTACATTGGACTGACAAATGTTGCTGTATTTCTGATCATCAGCTTGTTTTTAAATTGATATTTTTTTTAATGGGTGATAATGCTATAGTAACCTCGCTTGTACTAACGGTATATGCTGGCGGGGCACCAGTGATAGATGAAAGCAGGTCAGTTAGCCCATCGTGATGAATTCCACTAGAAGTAACCACGATTGTTTCCAGGGGGAACCACGTGGAGGTCGACCTGATTAGTAACATTGCTAGTATTGGGGCTGTTAAGACCCATCGCTAACAATCCCTTTCCCCCCTTAAATTGATATTATTATCGGTTAAATTAAATTAAAGTAAAAAAAGTGCATCCTATCGCTTAGATAGTAAACGGATCAATTAGATAAGAAATGAATTAAGAATTTAATTCGATTCGATTACATTTAATGGATTAAAGATAACATCTTAAAGTATAGATAATTAATTAATTTAATATTGTAACATTCATGATAACGATGATCGAAAGAAAACGTCATTACCAATATGAAAAATTTGAGAGTGCGTTCGATTTCAACACACAAAAACCCCGGTGATAGCCAATTCGGTGCCATTTTTTTTTTCTTTATTTTTATTACCTCATAACTAGCTCATTTATAAACCAATTTGGATGTTTTTTTTTTTTTTATCTAAAAAAATATACTTTCAGAATGATCTCATAGAAATTCCCGGTGGAAGCCAAATCGGTGGTATTTTTTTTTTATTTTTGTTACTTCATAGTTATGTCATTTATAAACCTATTTAGATGGTTTTTATCTAAACAGAGGTACTTTTCAAGGGGTCTTATAGATATTTTATCAAAATCACTCCAGTAGTTTAGTTTTTAAATTAAAATAACTGGATTGTTTTTACCAGAGAGAGACTTTGTACAAAAGTCGATTGCTTGGGTACCTCTGTCCCATTCGCGTTTCTATCGTGAAGCAGTCGTGTTTGCATGGCTGTGTTCGGTTTGAAGGGTGAGATATGGCGTGAATTTACAGGGTACAGAGGAATAACATCTGAGTGTTCAGGAATGGCAACGCATGGGGGGTATTATGGGCGAAACAGTACACTCTGTTATGTCCATGGTACTGCTCACGTCTATAGGCGACGGTTACCACTTTACATCAGGTGGGCCGTCAGCTTGTTTGCCATTCTAAGTTGTATAAAAAAAAATCAAAAGAGTTGATTTTCGCACGAATAAAATCCGTTTTTTTTTTATTACGAAATACAATCTTAATCAAACCTCAACTCGACATCATTCAGTTCACATTTTTCTCTAATTATGTTATTACCTCTTTACGTTTTGACAGCTTAATCAATCATTACGAAACTTGGCATACATACATATTAAATAAAAATAAAATAAACTAAAATACACGTAGTTTTGGCATAGAAAAGAATATAATGTAAATTTTATGCCCCTCATGCGGACACAGACGCGGGCACATATTAGTATTAATTTTAACATACATAAAAGTAAAAGAACCATCAAAAAGAACTATGTCTAATATTAGAATTTTTAATAAATATTTTAGTGTAAACATCCCACTATAAAAAAAAAATAGTCCAGTATAAAAAAAAAAATAGCACATTAATCTATATCGTATTGATCCTTAGAATAACAATTACGCTTTAATATGAAAATGGAATATTAGATTTTTAACCATAAATAATAAATTCAATGATATTTTTTCTTAATGGCAACATCTATGAAGACACATGCGAGTATTACACACAGATGTTATAGACTCTATGGTGTATAACTTTATAGACTAATTTTCAGCGAATGAAGTCAGCTTATTGGCCACACCCAGAAGCTTGAAAAATCACTTTTAATCCACCAATAAATTGAAGTCAATATGTTTCTTCGCAGCGATAGATTATTAAATTTGTAACATAAAGTAATCGGTACTATTAAAGGCTAACAAACTAAGAAACTGCATTTGTAATATTGGTTCAATTATCAATATCGACTTATTGAATTATTTACTGTCACAGACTCATTACCCATTAAATACGATCAAATTATACTTTGATGAAAGTATAATTGACAATTATCGCTTGTTCCTTTGTTATTATTAGGTATATTGGATTGAATACTGGGTATTTCATTGCTCTAAAATACTAAATCATTATTATCATACATTTTGTGATAACATTATAATATAACTAATTTATTATATATTAGAACAAGTATCAAAACCTAATACGTAGTATGTCTCAACTATCTGTGACCATAGATTAAAGGTAGTACACACAAAGGATTTATGTGACGTATGAAATTTAAAAAAACCTACTTTACATTCATCATATCCTAGTACCGCGAGCACGAACTGCTTTAATTATATCTTCATGACTGTTATCCCCGATGGAGTGATTTCTGTAAATTTTTCCAGATATCCAAACCTTAGTCCACTTGAGGCAAAGTATATTAAAATAATAATGGAGAAACAAAAAAAAAAACAAAATGTAATCGCTGTTCTGAATTCTAGGATATTGTAAAAGACAGATCAAAACATAATACACTACTATAATAGAGAGAAAAGTTTAAATAAAACCTTTTACTATGTCCTAATCATCATATCTATGCAATACCCTTATAGAAGGTTATCAATACACAAAGGAATGATGATAATGATTCCATCAATAAAGATTCTCATAAATAATTTCTACTCGCTAAGCAGCTTGTTGAAGCAATAGCGTTTCTCCAACAGCCATTTTCTCCGCTCGCACCGGCAACGCACAACAAACAGAAGCGCTTTCAAGTTTCTTGACAACTTTTGATCTGATAACCCTGAGATTGCGGTAAATGGATGCTTAAGTGCTAAACGTTGCGCCTTCACGATTCATATCTGCCATCTCTCACAATAAAGGGGTACAACTTCAAATCAGATGTAGGTTCCGAGGCGAGGTTCCGAGACCTTAATGATATTGTGGACGCGAAAAGGTTTATTCCAGTCTGTTCTGATTTTACTGCAAAAAGACCGGACCGGTATTAGACCGGCGGTAGACACTTGCCATCAGGTGAGCCGCATGCTCGTTTGCCCCTGGTTTTGTAAAAAAGAAAGATGCAAATTGCAACAGGGTATGCAAATATATGGCTGTAGATGCTTGGCTCTCTGCCTACTAGGAAAGAGACTCGGTGCAACTTAGTAAAAACTAAAACGTCCAACATAAAAACTATCCCACAGACAAAAGGCATCAGGATACGAGTAATGTATATGACGTTGCAACCATTAATATATGCGGTGGCCGCTTACTATTAAACTGTTTACTTCATTCAACGTCTTGACATCTCATAAATGCTCCACTGTTGGGCACAAGTCTTTTTCTATAAGAGTAGAATATACCTAAATTTATCAAATCAGCTTTACTTCTTGCTATGAGATTTAATTTTAAGTGTCTCTTCTCTTGCTCTGGCATATTGTTCTTTGTTTTCTCCGTCGTTTCTTATAATATCTTGAGTATAAATAGAAGTGGTATCAGATTGTCTTTGTTTTATTGTTAAAAGTTTTGTAATTTTAATGTAAGAATGTGTTTTAATTGAGAATGCTTCCGGACTATGACTAGGAATTCCGGATAATCTCGAAACTAGTCGAGAATTCTCGACTAAAATACATGTAAGTTAATCCGGTTTTTCTTCTAACACACTACATTTGGTGAAATGGGATTAGTAGTAGTAGATTCTAAAAGTCCCAATGCTAGCAATACACCCACAATCAGGTCGATTTCTAAATATTTTGTCCCAGAAACCATTGTGGGAATTCATCATGATGGGCCAACTATAATCTGTCACTGGTGCCTCGCTAACGTATACCGATAACGCAGGCAGGCTTACGAGTACGATTCCATTTTTACCCATAAAAAACACACTGGTTTCTTACTTCGTCACCACACGAAGACCTTGGATTAGCACGTACAACAAATATCCCATTACGTAACCGATAATTTACACTGCAATGATCACAGTTCAGATCGCACTCAATATCACACGATATTACAATCAGCACTGCAGAAACTTGTGATAACGGCGGATTATTTGATAAAATGTTACGTGCCATGCCATGGTCCGATTAAGGCGTGGATCAAGTTTTTTAAATTTAAAGATTACTTTGTAATCAATTGAAAACCGATGCAAATAATCTTGGAAACAATATAGCCATGCGGTGATTGATCTATGATACCTTTAGTTTTAAACTTGCCTACGTTATTTTTTTTTTTACAATAGCAAAATATGTGACCAAACAGAAGTCAACGAATACAGCAAAAATATGATCTATGCATGCAAGCAACCGAAAACAGAATGTCTCTCAACAATTGACCACACTATGCTGGTTCAGTACTTTTTCAGGCTACGTTTGGAGGTGATGAGCTTTCAATTTTACCAGAGGGAGACTTTGTACAAAAGTCTTTTGCTTAGGCACCTCTGTCTCATTCGTGTTTCTACCGTGAAGCAGTTGTGTTTGCATGGCTGTATTTCGGCTTGAAGGGTTGGTTATGCCGTGAATTTACAGGGTACAGAGGAATAACATCTGAGTCCTCAGGCAACGTATGGGGGGTATCATGGGCGTAACAGTATACTCTGTTATGTACATGGTACTGCTCATGTCTATAGGCGATGGTTACCACTTTCCATCAGGTAGGTCGTCAGCTTGTTTGGCATTCTAAGTTGTATAAAAAAAATCTATAGACATTGAATGTTCATCACATATATGTTTTCAATAATTACCCCAAGATTCTTGGCTATCCGAGACTCTTGGTCTAGCCATTGAATTCGATTAGAACCAAGCTTGGAGTGAGTTACAGAATCTGATTACATTTGTCATCTTACTATAATTGAAAGTGGATGCAAATAATTTTGGAGACAATCCTGGATTGTGTGGATCCAATCATGACTCCCAGATTATTTCTATTGTCGTGAACAAAACTATTGAATTGGATTGACTTGGAGCCAAGCTTGGACCAATGTTTTGACGCTCAGAGCCACTGGCCACATACATCTATAGTATCAAAATCACACGTTACCACCAAACTCACCCGTAAATGGCGTCCTTGTCTCTCTTGTGGACTAGTGGCTCGCCGGGGAGCGCGTGCGCGGGCGCCGCCGGCGGGGGGTAGTGCACTGGAGGGAGGTGGGGGTGCGTCAGTCTATGCTCGTGGTACATCGCGCCTCCCTCCATGTATCCTCCACCGTGGAGGGTCTCGTCGTACTGGAAATTAACAGAAGGTACAATTAGACATAATTACATACACGGACTCTGTTGCGAATAGAAATCAAGCTGATGCCTCGTTAAAGGATATATAGGAAAACTCTCCATAAGTCTGCATGAGTCCAGATGGACCAAAGACCACTAAAAGACCAAAGTAAAGGAATGTAAGTGTACGTAAAAAATAAGGTATTTCGTTAAAATGTATATTATGAATTGCTAAAGAATAATGTTTTGAGACAGTGAAACTGGTCAAACCATAAAATGCGGTTAAAATCTGTGGAAGCATCAAAATAGAAATGTCTTCTAATTAATAAAATTAAACAGAAGATTACTTCACTTGGAAGAAGAAGAAGAGGAGAAGAATATTGAAGGAGGATTATATCCACTGGATAAGAGTAACAGAGCAGGTGGCTCATGACCGTTCCATATGGCAGTCTATGAGGGAGATCTATGTTCACCAGTTGACAGATAATTGCTGAGGTGATGATGATTAAGAGTAATCACAAGATGATCAAAAACACTGTGGATTTCGTGAAAAAACTAAACAGTTATTTGAAGGTCAAGATATGATAATAAATCCATGAATGCTATGGATTCTAGCGCGTATTCTATGATGTCAATGGTGCTGTTACGTCTATGAGTGACGGTTACCACTTTCCATCAGACGGGTCATCTGCTTGCTTGCATTTTAAATTCAAATTGCACAATAATAAAGTATTAGAACTATAAAACATTAAAAATTCTTGCTTTTATTGAACAAAATACTTCACCATCTTATTTCTGTTAACGCACATTTTAAACTCTCGAACTGCTCAGAATACATTTTAAACTCTCGAAATGTAAGCATTAATCCCAAAAAGGATTAATAAAAGTCCAAAACTCTTAATACCCACATTTAAAACACTAGAGCAGTTCAAAAACCAAAAAAAAAACTCTATTAAGAGCAAGTTCGAGTTCATAGACAAGAGAGGGTTCCGTAAAATATTCTTTTAAGCTCTTTAAGTTTATAAATATGAACTTATTATAAAATTGTGTTGTGTATGTGTTCTTAAATATAGTATATGTTTGGGGGGAAAGGGATTGTTAGCAATGGACTTTGACAGCCCATTGCTAGCAATGTCTTATTAGGTCGACCTCCACGTGGTTCCCCCTGGAAAGCATCGTGAACAATTCTTGTTGAATTCGTCACGATGGGCTAACTGACCTGCTTCATCCTCACCTATCATGCTTCACTGGTGTCCCGCCGGTGTATACCGATAGCGCGGGTGGGGTTACCATTCCATGATCATCCATTAAATATATATATATATATATATATATATATATATATATATAAGGAAATAGTTGTATTATATATTTTGCTTTTTGTTTTTTTTTTGTTGTTTTTAATTTTTTTATCTCTTTTACTGTGTATTATGTGTATGTTTGTATTGTAATTTGTGTACTGTAAGTAATGCAAATAAATTATCTATATATCTATCAATAACCGACTTCATCCGTGTCACCGGATATGTTTATTAATCAGGATAAAAAAGTAGACTATATCCTTCTCCATCCCATATAGTACGTGTATGCCAAAATTCATAATGATTGGTTAAGCCGTTTAGACGTTATAAGGTAACAAACAAACAAACTCACATTCACATTTGTAATATTCATCGTCATCACCTCAGCCGTTCTCTGTCCACTGTTGAACATAGACCTTCACCTTAGACTACCTAAAAAAGGAAAGGTCCTGAGCCACCTGTATACATTATCTGCAATATATTTAAGGTCATCACTCCATCTAGTGAGGGGGTCGTCCTACACTACGTTTACCCATACGGGGTCGCCCTCAAAAATCTTTTTTTTTTTCTCCGCCGGTTGTCGATATTCGAGCTGTGCGACTAACCCATTGCCACTTCAACTATCTTATCCTTATTTATAATATTAGTAAATATTAATTATATTAAAAAAAATGGAAGCAAGTTTGTTTTATACTATATAAAGATATCGACGGAACCCTAAACAGCTCGTATTAAAACGGTGAATATTCATTGAAAATACTTAAGTCATCATTGATGACTATCTGGCATCAACATTGACCATCAATTAACTGCTTTTAAAGCATTTTCTTTAGCTTTTAGTTTTGAAACGTTTGACAGCCCTAGTTCTTTGTCTCGTCGGCAATTAAATTTAATATATACAGGTAATTAATACTTCGTGTTATGATTTTAGTTTAATCTGTGGTCGGTAGACGGAATTACTGGCCTGTTGAATCTATGTTAGGTTATAATCTATTATATTCATTTATAATAATTTCAAATATATTAATACTGGCATTTTAATAAGCAATTTAAAAAAATAAAAGTTTATTCCATGACAGTAAATTTTATTGGTTAGTTGATTAGAATTAATTTGTTTAATTGTGACATTCGAGGACAGAACTATTTTTAAAAATAGAATTATTATTATTCTTATTAAAAAAATTAACACCTAGTTTAGTAAAATATAAAAAAAAAATAGATTCGAATAAAAAATTTAAAATTTTAATTTGAAATCCCCTCTGTTCTAAATCCAAATTAAATACTAAATATATAAAGCAACAAAACACGTACAAAAAGGTACACAACGAATTTCCTATTTCGGATTCCGTTAATATCAAATTTTGTTATAAGTATCCTGTTTTTATGTATTTCCACATTTTTTTCTAGAGATTTCCATTAATTCATTAGGTACATGTCATATTAACATTTGATCCGTGACAGCTAGCGACCTCTGCGACCTGTACGATCACACGACACCCTTATAGCGACGGAATAAAGTTCAAAATGGCATCGCCTACGTCTAAAAACAGAGTAACAATAGAGAAAAAGTTGAACACTTCATGTATATTCATAACGCGGTACACAATGTCTATATTATATAAAGTTTTGCGTATTCTTTATTAACATTTCGTTCGGAAATTTAAATAAAACGCAATAATTATACTCAGTTTATGGTAAACGCGAAACGTAGCTGTTATTTGTCATAATAACTGTTAGATCGTAAACTAATATTTTGAAGACGAAAGATTCGATTCTTGTTTATAATAACACTAACGATTCGGCCCGACGTCGCACGAATACTCACTAATAATGTAAGTGTATACCATAAATAAAAGAATTTTTATCATCGGCTAAGTATTTTTTCAGTTTATCCGTTACAAACAAACAAACAAACAATGAAATCTTACTTCTTTTTATTATTATATTTTTATTATTATAAAAGATTTGATTATGTTACTAATAGTATTAACAGATACAATCAAAAACTATGAGACCAAATTAAAAAATTCTTTCACCTCTAGAGAGTAAACAGACTAACATATATATTTATTTTCGAAAATTCTATCTACCCTTGCCTATCTAGCCAGTCAGACCGAATCGCTACTTATTTATACAATGCAATGCAAACGAACATCGAAGAAGTAACTGTTTTTTTTTAAGTAAACTCCCAAAAAATAATTTACTTCAAATATTTGAATTTAGAACGCGGAATTGTCCATAATAGATTTTGCTTTGCAAGAAACAGGATTTTACTACCCAAATTAAAGTAGCAGCTTCGTCTAAAAATCTCCGAAACCGAAGATAAGCATCTATATAAAAATAATAGGTATCCGAAGATTTTTTTTCACTTACAGATACTTAGTTTTCTCTGCCAACTCTTGGCGTGAAGAGAAAAATAAAGGTTAATATAGATACCTAGGATTTGGATACATTTGTAAAAATAAAAAAGAAACAAATAATAGTACTACGTAGGCAAACAAACGTCCTGTATATTATGGATGTACACAGCCCTGTATAATATAATAATACCTACATTTGGAGCCGGGTGTGCCATCAAATACGGTGACGTGGCATTTTGGCAGATCGATAGACCCCATCATTAAAGCACCTGTGTATGGCCAGCTCTGGATGTGAGGAGTAAAACGCTGAATGGCCAGAATGCATTGAGATTAAACGTATAAATTTAAATATGATGTCTAATGTAATATTTTTATTTAATGACAGTACACTTAATAGTCTTTGTCCATAATTAAATTTAAAAAAATGTCAGATTGACAATACTTAGATTAAGAACTATGTAATAATTTCGAAAGTGTTCACTTTTCTTCCTAAGAAAAAAAAAAGAAAGATATTTTTAAAATATAATTATGATTTAAATTTAGAACAAAATTCATGAACGGAGTGTAAATGTAAGATTGTACCAATATTTATCGATATTTCGAAAAAAGAACAAACCTTGACTGAATAGTGTCGCCGCATTACGAGCAACATTTTTCTTTAATACGACTATGGATAAAAAAAAAACAAAATGTCGGGAACTCGGAGTCCAGCAATCATATGGCTGTATATGGAAAATGTAATTAAACTATTTAATTCTTGGGATACCTTTGCACCTGCTCTGTCTACAAATTAAAAAGAATACTTTGTTTTCTTTTTAAACTATCGAAGGTGAGTTGATCGAGCACAGGCGTGGATTAAAACAAGATTTATATACATTTATAACAAAAAAAGGTTGTATTTATTAAAATAATTCTTTATGTCTGAATCAGAATAACAAATTAATCGGTGCAAAAATTATAAAAATAATCATGTTAAACGGAATAAACTTAAAATGACATTTTATTTTCATCCAATTTTTTTGATTTTTTTTTTTATATATACCTATGTACATGTAAGTATTTGCAGGTCATTGGCACAATGTGCAACTAAATGACAGATAAATAATATCTCGATTCCGTTTGAAAATGAAATATATTTAGAACCCTGTATTTTTTTTCTATCGCTAAAGCAATCTCATCCAGACTACCTTTAAGTAAAGGTGAATAGAAACAACTTATTGTCTATTTTTATATAACAAAATAAAATAAATTTAACTATAATTTTGTAATGGCCATTTGTGCCAAAATAAATAAATATATATAAAATGAATATGGGTAATACTGTTATTATATAACACAACTCCAACCATAGTAC